CGGCGCATTTCAGCGCATACCTGAGAGTACAATTTCGTATGAAAAGATGTTTAAAAAAAAGTAACTTTTAAAAACGTTAAGTTGGCCCCCCACTTTTTGAAAATTTGTCACGGCTTAACCGTAATGGCGCTAGCTTTAATTCAATTGAGCGCATAACCAAATGTATCAGGTGACCTAGTTACAAGGGACAAAATACGTACTGGGGGGGCTACGTTCACTTGGCCCCCCCCAAATGTTTTTTTCGGATTTCTAAAGAACGATAATGGCGCAAGAGTTATTATCGGTGGCGCATATGAGCGCATAACGAGCGCATTCATTTCAAAATAATACGACTATCAAATCTCTCAGTGGGGGGGGGGGGGCAAGTTAACGGACCCTAATTTAACACCTAACAGAATTCTTGGACACAAACCCCCTCCCCCAGGTAAGACCAGAACTCGCTGCAGTATGAGAGCTAAATTTACTTGTAGTTCATTATAGGAGATCCATGAAAACTAGACAAAAAGTATTTAAAAACTCTTAAAAATTGTTAGTTTTAAGTGGACTTTTAAAGATGGTAAAAGGTTTCAACGCCTATTTTTGATTCAGCACCTTCAATAAAGGTGGGGCACTCTGTATGTGAAATATTTGAATTTTTTAGTAAATGGGGTAGGTTTTTTACGAATAAACAGAAAGCGTGATCGTTTCGTTTGAATTTGTATTTCAGTATTGGTTTTTCCTTTTAGAAATTTGTGTAGATGCGAAATGTTCGTTTTTAATTTTATCGCTTTTGTAAATTGTTCAATTTTGATAAGGTGCTAAAAGTAAGACACGTCTGGTCGTTTGCGATAAGAAGTTTTATTGTTAGGCAAAATTTAAATAATGCACATGTGGTTCTGATAAGAAGATGCGAAGATGTGCGTGTTTCTCGGCGTAAGTGGGGACGGAGGACGCGTGCTGTCGAAGCTGGCTTTATTGAAGTCTAAGAAGATTATTTTAAGTGAAAGAGAGGAGATCCTTTAAATACGAGAAGATAACGAAAAACGGGGCTTTTTGTTCGGTGTTGGCGCGACAGTATTAGTACACGTTTTAAACGTTGTTTTTTGGGTGTTTGGGCAGTCAGCCCGTTGGATGTGAAGATGGCGTCCGTCTATTTTGATGGGGAGATTTGTTTACTTGAAGCAAGTAAGAGTTGTATCCGGAAAATTAATAATTCGAGTGTGTGTGTCGCCCAGCAATTCAGAACATAGAGAGGCTAAGCTTCTCTTTCGTATTTAGTCATTAAAGTCGACAAAGAGTTATCAAGATTGCGAGTACCTAATAGAAAAGATGAAATTTTGAAGCTGTCAGCGTATGTTTGTGTCAGTTCTTCAATTGTATGCTTATAGCGTCCCATTAGTGCTCAATAATCCAGCATAAATGCTCAATCAATGTTGTTCAATCTGGCCCCACCAGGATCGAATGTACCACAATTTTGTCAACCATGGGAGTATGGTCCACCAGTTTTCTTAAGCCAAGTTTTGATTTGGCAAATCGTTAATTTTAATTTAATTTTATCCCTCTCTTGTTTTGGGCCCTCAACAGGCATGCGCCCAATTACAGAGTGACCCGCATAATGCTATTTAGAGGTGCCTCTGCAGAAGGTCTTAAATTGGTCTATACTACTCCGGTATTTACCTTACGAATTAGGAAAACTGCAGGAAAACCTAATTCGGAGTAGCCGGTAGAATGCTCGGAACTGGTCTAAGGTAATTTCCATCTCCGCCACAGATGAAAAATTCACCTCAACCCAGGTTCGAACACCCGACCTCCGGATTTATAACCCAATGCTCTACCACTGAGCCATAAATCCGATACTACTTCCTAATGTCCAAAAAAGGAGCGATAGTAATCGATGATGTGTCGTTACAACATTTTTTACTCAACCTAACATGGTGCTCATCCTGCGGTAACACAACGTGATATAAATATATCAGCACGTCCAAATTAAATGCGAGATAAAAATAACACCAAAGAGAACAACTGCGTTTTTAAAACCAAAGGGGCTGCCGGGCTTCAGAGTTGGCGTTACACGGTTGATCGAAGCATAATGTTTTAATTTTACCTTGACTTAGTTTATACAGTGTATCGGTTTCAAAGGAGTATGTCGTAAATGTATTATCAATAAATGTCCCAAACTGAGATTCAAGATTTAATATAACTTTTAGTGAAGAAGCACAAAAGGGGGAGACGTCGCACAAATCAGCACAAATTAATAAGCACTTTAATTCATGTACTTACTGTTACAGCTGCGTCTACCACTTCGAGGCGCAGAAAGACGAAAAAGTCAAGATAACGCTAACGCAATTAGTATTTAAAAAGCGTCAGTGTCAGACTCGCGTTAATCCGAACACCGATCGCCTCCATTGCTATGGAAATACTTCCGCAACGGTTCGATTCTTTGAAGTGCCTTGGGATGACGTACCGGCTGTTCCGCGAGATTGTCTCTGCTCGGGGAGTGACGGGGCTAATCTCCCCTTCACTTACATTTCGACGTCGAATGTGCTAGAAGTCAGATTCGACGTGACCGGAATGAATTCATCCGACGATTTCAGCACGTTATTTTTTGAGGGCACGTGGCAATTTATTCGAACCCCAATATGCTCGCGTAACCTGCGAAGACAAGGGCCGAGCGGTGAGATTATTTTCCGTTATCCGAGCGAGTCGCCGGATGAGGTACGTACCCAATACGAATCCTTCCAATTACGGCTAACGACTTTTTCTTTATTTCGCAGCTCAACTGCGAAAATTACCCGCGCGTCATAATTCCGGGACCAAAAAAGTTTCTCTACGTAAAAATAAGCGGAGTTATCATGAAGCATTCGAGCAAATTGGGGAACGAAACGAGCGTAACGTCGACTCGTTGCGGAACATCGAACCGGATCACGGTACATACGGCCCTATACTCTGCGGTGATCTGCCCCTACATTATGTCGTCACGCCGACATAACTTGGTGGAGGTCTTTTCCGAAGGATGGCAAACCGATAGCGTTAATGGACCGAGACCGTTGCCGGTCGATAAAGTCGAAATCGACTATTTGGGAAACGAGCTTTCCAAGACCATCGCCGTTGAGTTTCTGGGAAAGGAATCCGGCTCGTACGCGGTCTCCTGGCTGGAACTAGCGCGAAGGTAAGTCCAATATTACAAAGAAATAAATCACCCCACTAGGCTATCCCCTTTAGAAAAGTATATATTTCGTTCCGTGACCGGATTTACAAATGACCATAATACGAAGGCGCGAAATCGAGATAAATCAATTTAATGTAGCGCGGAGAAATTATTTTTTTTCTGCTTTCCTCCCTTCCTGATGCCATCTGTATTATGTGAAAATAATTCAGCAATTATTGCACCTAACTTCATTCTCTCCGTTGTCGTGGTCACTGAATCTAAAGTTAATTGGGAATTTCGACGGAAGTCAATTTAATGAAAATTGAATGGTTCGACTTTTAGGGTTTATTCTCAGAGTCGACGGAAAATTTTTTGTCGTTTATTTTCATATTTCTTTATTTCCCAAATCTCGTCATAGAATAAAGGAAAATTTTTCATACTCAATATTTCCAAAACTTCGTACATTTCCAAAATTGTGCAGACGTGAAAAATTAGTTCCCGATCCACCGCGGGATTTTCATGCAGTAGAAATGATTAGAAATTGGGAAAAAATAATTAAAACAACTGAATTTGTCCGCGGGCGAAATCGGGGGTTAAAAGGGGGTGGAAAGTGGTATTTTGCAATTTGTGACAAAACTATTAATTTTAGAGGAAGATGTTCGAAGTAAAAAAAGGAATTAAAAAATGAATATCTTTTATATCTACACTTTTGCACATAACCTCAAATTTGCAAAGTTGCCAAATTATTAATTTTTTTCCGAATAATTCTCTATAAGCCAGCCTGTGTGGTGCAGTGACGTTGAAGCGCGACTATGGTACTAAGGGTCCCTGGTTCGAGCATGGATAGTTACAAATGTATAGTGGGTTGGATTGGTAGAGCAGCCTTGACTGAAACCCCGCTCACTCAAAAGTTCAAACGTAAAATAATAACCCCATGTCTCTATCTTTAAAAACTGCAGTTGCAGACTCGGGCACACTGTACACTATTCATGAAGTTAATAAACGTAATTTCTTTTCATTTAGCAATGATTAATTGAATTGAATTCATAATAGTTTGCACTTAGCTCTTTATAATTCCCGAAACTTCGGGTTGTCGAGGTGTAGAGGTGGTGCCACTGGTGTAGGGCACCCACCGAAATAAGTATCAGAAAACTCGGAACCATTGTACACGTTCGTTTAATCACACAAGAAAGTAAACGTTTGGAACAAAAACCTAACACGATCTTCGGCACCCAGGTGTCTTGCTATCAGTAGAAATTTTGTAGTTTTGGCTATCCAAAGCTATAATTTTTTATAGGGGTGCCATTTGAAATTTTAAGAAAATGATAAGTATTTGGCGAAGGTCAATCAAAAATTTCCTTTTTTCGAACAAACAGAATCAATCTAGCTACGTTTGTTTCTGAGATCCAGGGTGAAAACGAAAAGTTTGACTTTTTGGGACGTTATCACATTTTACTATCCATGTAAGACAGAAAAAAGGTGCCTATTTCAGATATTTTTACGTAGAATCCAGTGGCGTAGTTAAAAAAATTTTTGTACCACCGTTTCTGAGACGCTCCATGGCCATCCTGTTTAAAATCCGTAAAAAATAAGGATTTTATTTTTGGTCCGTGGCTAAAATACATCAGGAACAAGAAAAATTGACGTAAGATGTACAGTGTTGCATTTAAAAAATACGAAATTTGTGTCAAATCTCAGAAACGGTGATCCTAAATTTTTTCTTACTATACCACTGGATTGTACGTAAAAATTGTTCTATGTTTCATGAGTAGTAAGATAAGATATGATAACGTCCCAAAAAGTCTCTACCTTTAAAAACAGCTGAGATACACTGTTCTTTGAGAGAATTTTCGCAAGTTTTTTTTTAATGGGCATATGGCAGGGCATATGGTCTTTGGACTAAACCGTGTCAGAGAATTTTACGACTACTTCCAGGTAGAATTTTTTGTATCAACCACTTTAAGGGAGCTTCTTCCTTTACAGAAACTTCTCTTAAGAAATTAATCTACTTGGGTGCTACACAGGGTGTTTCTTAATAACATGCTAATATTTTTTGGGCTCATTTTAAGAAAAAAAACTGTCTATGAACGTATGTCAAAAAAGTCTTCACTTTTGAGATACGGGGTGATAAAGTTTTAAGAAAAACATCAATTTTTCTATTGTCATTTTCAAGCGTGATTTTGACAACTAGGCGAGGTAGAGAACTGTCAAAAGTGTTTATGTTTGCAAAACAAAACAAAATCTGCTTATTACCTACTAGATCGTTTTTAATTCTTATTACTACCAAATTACAAATAAACGAATTTAATTTTTGTATGCGAAAACTAATTTGTGCTAAATTGAATCTAAACATAACTTTTATTTTAAGAGAAAGCAGTGGCGTACCACTTTTTGCTTCACAAATATCTAGTCTGAGTCTAGTACGGACGCCACTGTTGGAAAGTTTTTTAGGTAAAAAATGATCTTTCATGCATATACGCTGTATACCAAATTTCATAAAAATATTCAAACTGGTATGAAAATGACATTAAAGGTGTTTTTCTTAAAACTTTAACACCCTGTATCTCAAAAATTAAGACGTTTTGGACATACGTAGGAAATTTTTTTCTTAAAATGGGCCCAAAAAGTGCCCCTTTAAATATTAGCATGTTATTAAGAAACGCCCTGTATTTTGTCGGTATGTAAGAAAATTTTCTTAGCTGTCTTTTTAGGGCAATTTTTGGAAAGAAATAAAATTCCCCTTATGTGAAGTTTTGTCCGTCTGTCTGTTCCCCGTCTAACTCGAGAACAGAAAGAGCCAGCGATGTTAAACCTTCGCCAATCGATTTCTACGAGTTTAAGGATCAGTGCTGTTGAATATGAGCCGGATCAAAAGTCTGGTTTCCGAATACGAACCGAGTGGTAAAAATTCCCCTATAAAATTCTTCGTATCATTACGGCGAATTTTCTTTGCTCGTCCACCCAGCCGGCTGTAAGAGATTTTTCAGTCGGAAGCTAGCGATTCCTGTTACGTTCAATATCTCTAGTTTTCGGTAACATTCTCTTTCCCAAAAGCGCTTCGTCGTCGGTCATTCTGTAAATACTATCTGCGAACGCCCCACGTTGGGCGCCACTTGACGTAGACGGCTAGAGTTTTATTCGCTATTGTACGTTGTATTTTTAGTAGCGCCCTTTGTTTACTACTATTGCATTAATGGTGAAATGAGCAGCATAAAAAATACGCAGGTATAGTTAATCCATTATTCAACTAACGTGACGTCACAATCGGCTGGTAATCAGATTTAATCGCGCCATCATAAAGTTCAGTTTACGCTCGGCTGGGGAGGTGACTTTTTAATAAAAAATTAGATCGCCGCCGCCGCAATCACGCGACGTGCTTTTAATGTCGCGCGATTAAGCGTTCGGTGCACTTCGAAAGGGGGAGTAATAATCGTTTTGCTTTTATTTCAGGAGGATAGTGCCGCCGAACGGTTTGGGGCTTTTATGGGTGAAGGCGGACGAGTGCCAGTATCGATGCCCCGAGTTAGACGCGTGCATCAACGCCAGCGTGTGGTGCAACGGCGTGGAAGACTGCCCATCAGGAATCGACGAGGCACTTACTCATTGTTCACTTCTGTTTCAGTTGCCTCCGCTCTACTTATTTTTAGTAGCGCTGGCGATTTTGCTTTCGGCCGTTGCAACGTGCGCGATCGCCTGGAAGAGATGCAGAAGACGGCCGCGCTCCTTTTTGCAGACGCGACTGAAAAGTTTGTCCTCGGATACGGCGATTATTGACGAAAAGGGTGTGATTTGCTGACACAGTGACAATTCTGTTCGATACGTTGAGGTTGATAGGGTGACGACAGTGTGACGTTTCCTAACGCTCTCCTTTAACGTACCGATCAGAATTGGACACTTAGGATTTTATACCATTTTATATGGGAGGACCAAAATTTTAAACGTTTAAGGTTTTAGATTTATATTTGTTATAGAGAGGTACCTGTTTAGAGTCTATGCTGTTTTGTTCAAGGCAGGGACAGTTCTGGCCCAAAACAAAGGTTGTTATTGCTTACAATAGAGAATTTCGTTCTTAGAAATCTTCCCAATAACGGGTATTATCTATATTTTTTATAAAGCTCAAAGCACGCGCAGCTACAACGACTACAGCAGGTTTACTCCAACAACAAAATGGCTGTAAGGGTTTTGGCTTCGGACTGAGATGTATAGACATATTAAGGAAGATTAAAGAGCGAACATTTATATTCTTACTAACGTAGACCGTAGCTTTTCGGACGCATATCATTTAAACTAAAATGAGCATGCAATAAAAATGACAACACTGCCAGCACCAGCGGCGTTCATATAGACCCAACAATTTCGATCGGCTTTAACTACAGCGGCCGACTTCATGTGATCACTTTAGGGTATTAGGATATTAGTTTGACAATCTTAAGGGAAAAAACTTGGGCATACCTTTCATATCATGCCGAAACTTTCAGAATAATTTCTCTGATATTTTTGTGAAAAAAGTTCCTTTCGTTTAAAGAAAACAGCGTTTGATATAGTTGTAAAAAAACCGCGATTGCGGATAGCATTGTAAGGTCAGGTGAAGCTGACAATAAATTTTAGATAATGATTAGAGTTAAAGTATTCCTATCTATTAATAATGCGAATTTTGTTAACGTAAGAGAAATAGTAAAAAATTTATATACAAAAACTGTATCTTAATCGTTAAATAGCGAATAAATCTTTTGCAAAAGTTTATAATTTATTCATTATAAAAATTAAGAGCCTTCCAAAGTTGTTTAGTAACCGTTACGCCTCTGTCCTCTGTCGGTATAGTATAGATGTATGCAGTTAGTTTGAGTGTTTCATTTACCTTAGTTCCTTCTTTTGTCATTAGAGGTCACACCATGTATCTTTTTATCTTTATTTATCCCTTCTTTTTTTAATCCTAGCTTGCGTACAAGCTGTTCTTTTTCAGAGAAGTGCTCTCATAGACTCAATCTATTCCCCGATTGGAGTTACTGAGTAGTCTTCTGGCTTCCTAATTACTAAACTCTGTACTACACGCTAACCCGGGTCGTGAATACGCGCCGATCCATATGCTCGACCACAGTACTCGCGTAGTTAAAGACTCCATCGCATCTTCTTAATACGCGGAAAACTCGCGAAAAATTAAAATTTCAAATCAATTCCCGAAAAAATAGAAACCTTCAGTCTGGTAAGCTCGGACGAAATGTACCGCACCAACCCAATTTCGTCTAACGTAATTGAGCAACGGTCTCTCTCGTAAAATCAAAACTGTGAAGTTGAACCACGCAGTGAATACCCCAGCGGCCTAGAACCGAATGCCGTAAAATGGTTCTTACAGATTAATCTCCCCCCCCCCCCCTACTTTTTCATTCATTAATTGACGCCTTTTTCAATATGACTAATAATTAAGTCAACCATTTTTCTTTTAAAGCCAATTAGGAAAAACCAGACTGTCCTGAAAGATCCCACACACGGGAATTATGCTGAATTATATTTCTATAATGTGGACTGGTGTTCTCAAAGCGGCGTAACTTTTTGTCGCCTATTTTTTTGCAACAAAAACCCTGCTGAGATAAGATTATCTCCTATATCTCCGACTCACTAGGGCCTACCACTTCCTAAAGCTATTATGAGAACAATACTCTATAGAATTTAATTAAGTAGATCGCCAATTAAAATTTGTATTAATCGCTTTTAACGTATTGTGATTTCAAGCTCCCACACGTTTAAAAAAAACTGGTTTAATTTGATATTTCACTTAAGAACTGGACTGCGCAAACAAAGAAAACGAAATTATAATAGTGACCCACCCCCAATTTGCAGTAATAAATGGAAATATGCACCCGTCCGCCGGAGAAAATTCCATTATGAACTGAATACCTATACTGTTTTTTTTAAAGTCGCATGTCAATTTGCCAAGATGTTCAGTAGTCGACGGAAACAGGAACCTATTCTGCATTCAAAAGCCACCATTATGAAAAATGTGGAATGATTGATCGTTCCCTTCCGCAATCTGCGACACGAAAAATGTTTACTCCGAAATTTACATAATCATCCGTCAACAATGCTTTCCTTTCTGAAAATTGCCATTACGATGTACCCTCGGGTGTGTACCCCTACTCAACAGAAAATTTAATTACTGATACTAACTGATCTAATTTATACTAAAGGGATGTACCAAAAATAGCCAATAAAGCAAAATCGATATTTTCCTGGTACAAACTTTAAGCTTTAGACATCTTCTAGTGACAGGGATTTAGGTTTAATATAAGGATTAATTGAGATTTTTTCTACAAAACAAAGTACCATGATTTTTACAATTATAACTTTATACACTTTCACACAATGTGGGAAACACATCAACACACAAGACAAAAAATTTCACAAATTCCTCCACACATATTTATCGCTGATAAAAAACTACCTATCCTTTAATCACTTAACAAATCATCTGATTGGTTAGACTCTGAAACAAACCCCACGCCAATTGGTCAAATATTAATGAACATTTCAAAAGCACCCTTGATTTTTCGATAAAATTATGTCACAAATCAGTTTACGACCATGGCTGACAACTTAGTTAACTTAAAAAATTTCAACGTAAATGAAAGGCCCAAGAATTTAATTTAAATTGTATTTACAGAACTGTCATCTTCCAACTAAAACAATGAAAAGCAGTGTTTTGTTTGTGTATTGTTTTCCATCGCGTTAATGGTGTACCTATTCAATCGATCATGAATGTCAAATGTGATTATTAATTTTCATAATTAATTTTCGACTTTAAATATGTTAAGTATGCAAACTCTGTTTATTTACTTGTCAATAATATAAAAATTCCCGCAGCGCGTTTATTTATTAAAGTACCTATGTTTAGCAAGCTTTATGTCGTTATAAAGAGAAGAATTTGTCCTTTTTAAAAATGTCAAAGCCAACTATGAGTACCATTTAAAAAAAAGAAAAATTGTATTATATCTCAAAAACTGTAAAATCGAGAAGGGAATTAGTATATTCATCATGTTAAGCTATAAAATGTAAAGCTTTTATTCGTGTCATTTTGTTGTATTTCTAATGATTCTACATTTAAAAAATTCATTACATTACAAACTGTGGATTTTTTCAAAAAACAAAGCCATATCTTGCATAAGCTCTAAACGACAACTCTTTCCTCATTTAACCGATTCTCTATGTGTATCCCAATCTTAAAATGAAAAAAACTCACCCTGTATATATTACTTCCAAGAAACACTTTCGTAATTATAAACCGATTTCGACCAAACTTTAAGGGTTGGTGTAACTCATAAATATATCGGTTAAATTCGGGAATCAGCCAATTCCGCCATATTGGAACAAAATGGCGGAAAGAAATCGACCTAAATCATCTACTAAATTTGATTTGGTGATGATAAAATTTTAATTAATTAATTATTCGCTTTCAACCGGCTCCGTTCCCGATACCTGGAAAGTGAGCTATGTCACACCCATACATAAATCAGGCGACAAATCTGATATTCGTAACTATCGCCCAATTTCAATCTTAAATATAATTCCAAAAATCTTTGAAAATATTATAGTTGATAAAATCACCCCTTTATTTAGCAATGTTATAACTGAAAAGCAACATGGTTTTACGAAAGGCAGATCTACATGTACAAACTTGCTAGTTTACCAACAATACGTTTTAAAAGCGTTAGAGAACGGTCACCAAGTTGATGCAATATACACGGATTTTACAAAGGCGTTCGATAGAGTTAATCACCAACTTATCAAGTTATGGCATAAAAAATCCGCTGTTTACTAATTATTTGTCAGGGCGTCAGCAAATAGTTAAAATAAAGCAATTTACTTCCTACGCAATACCAATAACTTCAGGAATTCCGCAAGGGTCACATATAGGCCCGCTATTGTTTAATATTTTTATTAATATTTCTAGTTGTTGTAGAAATTCAAAATTGTTACTATTTGCAGATGACCTTAAGTTGTATTCAATTGTAAGGTCCGCTTCAGATGCGATAACTCTCCAATCTTCTCTAAATGAAGTCCTACAGTGGTGCCACAACAATGATATGTGCCTCAACTTTTCTAAATGCTGCGTTTTCATCGAATCTCTAGGCCACATCTGTCCAATTATATGATAGGTAATGTCTCTTTGTGTTCTGTTTCAACAATTGTTGACCTCGGTGTTACTCTTGACCCGGCCCTAACATTAATAACTTATCTTCGAAGGCTTGAAACCTACAGCACTAGGAATTCCTAATGTAGCACTAAAGAATGAGACACCTCACAAATATAGTGTCTTCAGGGTGTATGCTAACTTCACAGAGAAGTGGTAAAAGTCACAAAAATAATTAAAGCACTAGGAAGCACTACCGAAGCACTAAAGAATGAGACATCTCACAAGTATAGTGCTTTCAGGGTGTTTGCTGGTGTGAAGTTGGCAAGCAGTTCACAAAAATATCGATAAATCGTGAATGACAAGTGTTGCTGCAAAATTAATTGGAGAATTTAAAAGCACTAACGAAGCACTAACGAATGAACCATATATCGACGATAGTGCTTCGAAAGTGCTTGCTAGTGTGAAGTGGACAAACAATTCGGTTAAGTTAATGCTACTAGGTGTTGACTAGAAAATTAATAAGGCACTAGAAAGCACTAACGAAGCACTAATGAATGGGCCATACTCGAGGTCTAGTGCTTCAAGTGTGCTTGCCTACTTCACAGAGCCTCTAGTAAGAATGTGCAATTCCGCAAATGTACTATGTACTAATATTAACTTTTTTGGTACTATGTTTATCGAATTCCGAAGGAAGCTGATGTTACACAACGGTTAACGGTATAATTTGAGTTTGTATTCTTTTTTACGTAGGTGTTTATTTAAGGGTTATTAGAAACAATAAAATTTAGCATTCTTTTTTTCAATTAAAATGCACTTGATTTTTATTTGAAATATTGTTTGTTAAGTTTACCAGTAATTTTGATTTATAGTCACACTTGGTTTTGTTATTACATTTTGCTATATGATATTATGTTTTGTATTTCTTTGTAAAAATGGTATTTCCGTTAAATAAATAAATTTAAAAAAAATTAAAATGAAAACGCACATATTGATTGAATAACAATCGGTGGTTCGTTTGAACATGAAATATAAATAATATAATTAATATATACAGGGTCATTCTTGACGAGCGTCAGTTAGAAAGATATGGAAAACGTTTGAAAATGAAAATAAACTGATAAGTTCTTTAAGGGTTTGGGCACATGATGAATTGAACTAAAATATTTTCAAGATGGCGCCACTTCCGGAAATACCGGAAGTTGCCATCAACTTTGTTATTTTAAATAGGGTCCCCCTATTTTTTCTCCATTTTCGGATTCTACGTCGAATTTGGAGTACAACGATACCCCATAGTTGACCCTTTGCTCCAAGGGTTTCGTCGATATTCAATTTTTTATGTCAAAAATTGAATTTGCAGGAGTCATTTTACAAATTTATTATTCGAAAACGATATTGCAACACAGTTTTCACTGATTTATTAAAGAAAGATCGAAATTTCTTATGGTATGCGTAACAGTCTAAAAAAGTGAGACTACTTCACTTTTTCAAAGCTCTCAACTTTTACACTTTTAAATATCCATAACTCCATTTTTTCAAATGGCACCCGCCATTTTGTTCTACATCCTTGTTTTCCTATTTTCCAGACCTTTAATTTGATGCAAAATGTCAAAAGCTGCTTCAAGCGGTTTCCGAGATATTCCATGTTTTCGTTACTTCTTGTGGCAAATTGATAAAAAAATTAGGTAAGTCGCTTGATGTTATTCTTTTGTTTTTACTTTGATAATGTTTAAACGTCAAATTTTTGCTGCTGGAACTTGTACTTTTCTTCAATAATGGCTCGTTTGGGTTACACTAATGAAGATTTTTTGAATTTAATATTAATACACGGTGAATGTAATCGAATAGCGGCCAGGACCAGGACTTGCCGTCTTTTTTCCGAAAGACACCTTGACAAGGCACGATCCACAGAGACTACAATTCGCAAATTACTACAAAATTGCAGCAATAACGGTACGTTTCAAACAAAAATACAAAAAAGAAAGCCTTTGGTAGACCACCGTAAAAGCAAAGCACTTTTTTAAACAAATATGGGTGCCACTTATACTTTTTGAGAATTCTTTGTGCACTCGTGTCTGATATGTCAATTTCTCTTTGGATATAATTAAGCGATGCATTTGGATTTGCAGCAAAATACGCCAGTACAGCTGTTATTTCTTATTCTTCAGAGTCTACCACAGGCTTCCTTTTTTGTATTTTTGTTTGAAACATACCGTTATTCCTGCAAATTTGACGTTTTAAACATTATCATAATAAAAACAAAAGAATAACATCAAGCGAATTAAATTTTATCAATTAGCTACAAGAAGTAACTAAAACATGGAATATCTCGGAAACCCTTTGAAGCAGCTTTTCACATTTTGTATCAAAGTAAAGGTCTGGGAAAAAGGAAAACAACGGTGAAGAACAAAATGGGAGGTGCCATCTAAAAAAATGGAGTTACCAAAATTTAAAAATGTAACAGTTGAGAGCTTTGAAAAAGTGACGTAGTCTCACTTTTTTAGACGGTTTCGTATACCATAAGAAAATTCGATCTTTCCTTAATAAAGCATTGAAAACTGTTTTGCAATATCTCTCACCGTTTTCGAAAAATAAATTTTTAAAATGACCCCTGCAAATTCAATTTTTGACATAAAAACTTGAATATCGACGAAGCCCTTGGAGCAAAGGGTCAACTATGGGGTATCGTTGTACTCCAAATTCGACGTAGAATCCGAAAATGTAGAAAAAATAGGGGGTCCCTATTTAAAATAACAAAGTTGATGGCTACTTCCGGTATTTCCGGAAGTGGCGCCATCTTGAAAATATTTTAGTTCAATTCATCAGGTGCCCAAACCCTCAAAGAACTTATCAGTTTATTTTCATTTTCAAAGGTTTTCCATATCTTTCTAACTGACGCTCGTCAAGAATGACCCTGTATATATAAATAATAATGCGCACGCTACTGAGCAAAAACTCGCGAAGATAGGCAACACTGCTAACACGTAGTAGTACAAAAAAATTTGAAATCAACAACTAACCAATTGGCAACGTCTCAATAAACTGACGTGCCAGATGGCTTTATCGGGAATTGCCGGTCATCCCACTTTCGCCGATTTGACCTTCTTTCAAGATCACGTGCGCCATCGTCATTCGCCTAAAAATACCACGAAGGAAGCGCAAACGCATTTGAATCATCTTTCACTTTTCACATTCATCTCGGAAATCTCAACCGGCATCGGCTTTTGTTGAACACGCACTCGGCTCCGGAATTTGATTGTTATAATAAACGAAAATGAGCGGAAGGGTGAATAAAGTCCAAGCGTTTTTAAATTGACTAACTTTCGAATTGCAGCCTACCGTTTATCCCGCAGAGGAATTTGAGCCGGTTGAGGATGCCAAAGCCCTTAAGCAGGCTTTTAAAGGATTCGGCTGTGACGAGGACACCGTAAATGAAATAATAACAAAAAGGAGCAACGAGCAGCGGCAAGAGATCGCGAAACAGTTTAAAACACTGTTCGGAAAGGTAAGGGTACAAAATCTCCCTTTTGCCCTTACTAACCGAATTTTCGAAAAAGGATCTGATAAAGGAATTGAAAAGTGAGCTCAGAGGAAATTTTGAGGACGTTATCGTCGCCTTGATGATACCACCTGTTGAATACTACGCGAAACAGCTCCACAAAGCTATCAGTGGAATTGGGACCAATGAAAAGGCAATCATTGAAATTTTAGGTGTGCATCGAAACCAAGAGATTCTGGCAATCGGCGAGGCCTACCAGAGCAGTAAGTACTTTCTCTCAGTCGTGCTTTCCTAATCTCGATTCCTTAAAGTGTACGGCAACACTCTTGAGAGTGATCTCAAGGGGGACACTTCAGGCTCGTTGAAACGACTCCTAGTCTCTCTAGTTACTGTAAGTGTCAATTTTGAGTGATTGATATTGTGAATAAATCCCATAGGCCCACAGAGACGAGTCGGGAATAGTGGACCACGACGAGGCCTACAAGGACGCACAGACCCTGCTACGTGCCGGTGAACTATTCGCTGGCACCGACGAGTCGACCTTCAATCAAATCTTGTGCCAACGCAACCGTGACCAGTTAAACAAGGTGTTCGACAAATACGAGGAGATAACCGGGCACGATTTCGAAACCGCCATCGAGAACGAATTTTCCGGAACGGTCAAGGAGGTGCTGCTGGCCCTCGTGAAGTGTATTAGAAGTGAGGTGGACTACTTGGCCGAAAGGCTTCACGGTAGTATGGTCGGAATCGGTACCGATGACACGACGTTAATTCGGATTGTGGCGACCAGGTCCGAAATTGACCTCGAAGATATAAAGGAGGCGTTTTGTAATAAGTACGGAAAAACTCTGGCCGAGTTTATTCAAGTACGTCCGGTTTCCTGTGGAAATTTGATAATGATTTGGAATTTTTACAGGATGATACATCGGGTGATTATAAGAAGTGCCTGCTGTCAATTGTTGGATGAACTTTATATATTTTTTGAGATATTTATAAGATTTATGTATTGTAATAATAAAACAATTTCAATTAAGTCATTGAGAAAACCAAAGGTCTGTAAGTTAGAGCGCCCAACCGTTGAGTGAAGGCCCAACTTATTACATACCTGTACACCTTATCACTGTTTTGACACAACAACCAAACGAAGTATACCTAAAGCAAATGTGTTGATTGTTTATAAATTAATGTGACTGCAAACGTTTACCATAGAGATAAATGTAACGTTGGCAATGTAGAAAAGAGGAGCTTGAGCTAAATTTATCTATCAGTTTGAGGAAGATTAGATTAGATTCATTTTCAGTATATAAATAAACCAAATAGATTTGTATATTTATTTAAAAGGTGATTTTAAATTATATACAGGGTGACACTTTTAAAACTTTCAATGGGCGATATCGTTTTTTATATTAGAGGTATCACAAAATGGCCAACACCGTTTTGGTAGAATCGAGGGGGAAGCAAAATGGTCGTATAAAGAAGGAACCAACTTCAACCTCGTACCCCCCGCCACACCCATGCCTAAATTTTGAATTGTGACGTATCACTTATGATACATCATTGGAAAGCTCTTAAAAAATGCTTTTCAGAAATACACTGGTACATTTAAACTGCCCATTCACAATTTATTAAACTAAAATTTGAACTCCGCAAATAAACAACCTTTATTTAATAAAATGTTCAAAATGTTCACCGTTTTGTTCTAAACAATATCACAAACGGTTTTCAAATTCATTTCTAACATTTTTAAACACTTCCCTGGAAAGTGAACGGCACTCCCTGACTATCCGGTAGCGAAGATCATTTATGGAAGCTGGTTCAGTTTTGTACACAACCGATTTTAAATGACCCCAAAGAAAGAAATCCAATGGTGTCAGATCTGGAGATCGTGCTGGCCATTCTATAGGACCTCTTCGTCCTATCCACTGTCCTGGAAATTTCTCATCTAAAAATTCACGAACAGCCATAGAGTAATGAGGAGGAGCCCCATCTTGTTGAAAATGTATAAAATCTTCAATCAAATTCATGTTTCCGTCAATTGGATTTATTTGATTCTCTATTTCATGAGTGGATGAAAGGCTCGACGGTATTTTGTAGCATGTTTAGGTAAGTATCTCCAGTTAAATTTCCTTCGATAAACAGAGGACCAATAATGCTATCACCCAGACGTTAATTTTTTGGGGCCGTTGAGTATGGCCCTCGCGAAAAAGATGAGGATCGTCCCAATACCGGCAGTTATGTTTGTTCACATTTCCATTTAAAAAGAATGTACATTCATCACTAAAACAAATGTTTTTCATCAGTTCCGGAATATTTTGAATATTTTCGGTCATTATTTCACAAAATTGGATTCTTCGATAGGAGTCGTCTTCGGTTAGTTCCTGTACAATCTGCATCTTATAAGGGTAGAATTTGTGCACCTTAAGAGTTCGTCGTACAGTTTCTCGCGAAAGTCCGGTCATAGTCGCTGTTTTTCGAATAGATGATGTTGGGTTTGCACCAAAATGACCTAAAACTTCAATCTGAGTAGCTTCATCCATTATTCTTGGTCCGTCTCTTTTCTTATTTTCCACTGACCCAGTTTCTTCAAATTTAGTCACTAACATTGCAACATAAGTGTGACTGACACGTCGTTCTGGGTGTCGGGCATTAAAAACAGCTGCTGGTCTAAATGCAGATCGCGCTTCAGAACCATAGATGAAAATAATTTCAACTCTTTCGGCTAACGTGTACACCATTATGAAATCTTTAGTTAAATTCAAAATTTGTAATTTTCTTGCCAAGAAATGCTAAAAACGAGACTAAAATAATAATAACCGATCAACAAATAAAGCAATAGAAAATTATTATTTACTAAAAATTGCTGTCATTGTTTTTCCAAAGCATCACTAGAGCTAAGAAATTTTTTTTTATTTCAAACACTGACAAATTCATCAAATACTCAAATTACTCATTTTTATTACATAAATTGTGAATGGGCAGTTTAAATGCACCAGTGTTGGTATTTCTGAAAAGCATTTTTTAAGAGCTTTCCAATGATGTATCACAAGTGATACGTCACAATTCAAAATTTAGGCATGGGGGTGGCGGGGGGTACGAGGTTGAAGTTGGTTCCTTCTTTATACGACCATTTTGCTTCCCCCTCGATTCTACCGAAACGGTTTTGGCCATTTTGTGATACCTCTAATATAAAAAAACGATATCGCCCATTGAAAGTTTTAAAAGTGTCACCCTGTATAGCAAAAAAGTTTCCTCGTCACAAGAGCTTTCAATAAAAAAAAAGAAAATTAAAATCGGACTATTAGGAGCAGAGATACAAAAAAATATATTGCGGCTAATGGCCTAGTATATTTATTACAGCACTTGAAACACCTTTGAGAGCTCTGACCAGGGGTTAGAACCGGAACCGAAACCGATTGCATTTACTCGAAACGGAACCGTCTTTCAAGAAAAATTGACCTTAGGTCCGATAACTTTTTTACCTGACCAGGTGCACTTGTTCTGAAAACGGTAGATAATTCAACAATCATTATAAAGAAACTTTTGTAATAAACATTCCTCGGTATCTCTATTAATTAGGGTCAAATTGAAATTTGACATTTTTTTTATTTTCCCATGTATCTCGCGAGCGAATATTTTCAAATTTTAATTTTACCATTTTAAGTTTGATCCAAAAAACGCACACAATCGTCGAAAATGACCCAGTCCTTTAATTTTGTGTATAACCTCCTCAGTTTAAATGGATCACTCTTTGTATTTTATTCGAAAAAATTCAATATCGGTTCAAAAATATTAAAAAAACTAAAAAAATTCAAAAGATCTTTTGAAACTTTGTTATATTTTTATAATCATTTCAACCATTTTTTAAATTCTTTTCTTAATCTATTTGAATGTTCTTTGAATTTTTTTAATCACTTGAATCTTTTTTGAATAACGTCACTAGCGTGTCATATTTATGAAAAGAATTTAATATACTATCTTTTTAGGTTAAAATATACAGGGTGTTTCATTTACAAAATGATATTAACCCCGCGCACATTACGCCTACAATTACTTTTTTGATAGCACTAACAACTAGAGCTATTGAAACATCTGGACTACACATATCTAGTGGTCTAGCGCGAATATGTCAAGAACGGAGTGTCGGAAGGCGTTACTCAAACATATTGGGAGCGATAGGGGTGTTAAGAAAATGCGCTCTATTTGCACAAGCGTTATGCACAATTTGTACTTGTTTGATATCGCTAACAATTACGGAAATACCTATAAAAGTGTCAAAAATGGGACACCCCGTACTTTAATTGTGTATATTTTTAACTATAATAATATAGTTTTTACCTATTTATGTTAGAACCCTTACTAAAGTATCGGACCTAAACTCATTTTTTAAATGGAACACCCTGTGTATTTTCGTATCGAAAAAATGCAATATTAGTTCAAGAAGATTCAAAAAAGATTTTTAAACACTTAAAAAATTAAATACATTATTTTTAAGAAAGAGAATTTTGATCTAATAATTTTTACGACCATGGGTATCTCTAAAACTGATAGGTAGGTAGTTTGAATTTGGCAAAGTTGCGTATTTTGATACTTAACAAGAGCCGTTTTGAAACTGAAAAAATTCCGACTATTTTCGGAGATATTCTGAAAAAACGAAATTTTGCAAAATCGTATTTAGTATTTACCGAAGTTATTTAAAAAGGTATTTCAAAAAAATGACACATTATTATGGCCACTTTTTTCCCTCTACAAGATGCTAGTTTTAAATTTTAAGTCTGACGTTTCGTCTCCCGTTAACCATCATTAACATTGTTTTTTCTTATGGAAGTCATTTTTACTTTTTGTGTCATTTGATTGAGCATTATTTTCTGATAATGTCTCTACTAATTTAGTAATTTTTAATACGAATTGGCGTTATTCATTCGTAAAAACACAAGAAACTAGAAACACTACCCAGGACAAAATTTACCAGACAAAAAGAAGATATTTTAACAATATTTTAGGTTAAAATATACAGGGTGTTTCATAAAAAAATGAGGTTAGTTCCGACAACTTTTTTACTTGATCTCGTATACTTATTCTGAAGTATATCAACAATCATTCTAAAGAAACTTTTGTAACAAATCTTTTTCTGTGCCATTTTTTAACCAAAAAAAATATTCTGAAATTTGCATTTTTTAATTTTTCTCGTGTCTCTAAAGCGAGCGAATATTTTCAAATTTTGATTTTGGCCCAAAAAAGCACACATGACGCCTATGTTATAGATACCCTGTATGTGTCGAAAATGGGACAGTATTATTTTTTCCTATAATATTTTTTTATGTTAGAACCCTTAAACAGTTATCAGACCTAACCTTAAATAGAACATTCTGTGTATTTTATTTGTAAATTGACATTGGCTCGATTTTTAAAAAAACAAAAAATTCAAAAAAATTTATTCATCCTGTGTAGTATATTCAAATTATATATCACTCTAAGTTTTAGATTACTCAACAATCATTATAAAGACATGTTTGTAATAGATATTTTTCAGTCTTTCAACTAGAGAAATATAGGGTCAATTTGAAATTACCCTCGTATCTCTTAAGCGAAGGAATATTTTCAAATTTTTATTTTATTTAGGTATTTATTTTTTTTTTAATTTTATTGCCTTTATTTTATAGTGGGCGGAGTGTTCCCACTCAACCCACTATACATAATTTATAACATAATTTTATCATTTTAAGTTTGATCCAAAAAGCGCACACAATCGTCGAAAATGACCCAGTCCTTTAACTTTGTGTATAACCTCCTCATTTTAAATGGATCAGCCTTTGTATTTTATTCGAAAAAATGCAATATCGGTTCAAAACTATTCAAAAAAATTTAAAAAAACTTCAAACATTCAAAAGATCTTTTGTTCTATTTTTATAATCATTTCAACAATTTTTTTAAATTCTTTTCTTAATCTCTTTGAATGTTCTTTTTAGGTTAGAATATACAGGGTGTTTCATTTACAAAATGAGATTAACCCCGCGCACATGACGCCTACAATTACTTTTTTGATAGCACTAACAATTAGAGCTATTGAAACATCTGAACTACACATATCTAGTGGTCGATTTAAAACTTGAAGTGCGAATATGGCAAGAACGGAGTGTCGGAAGACGTTACTCAGACAGATTGGGGCGTTAAGAAAATGCGCTTTATTTGCATAAGAGTTGTGCACAATTTGTACTTGTTTAAAATCGCTAACAATTACAGAAATACACCCTATAAAACTGTCAAAAATGGGTACCGTACTTTAATTTTGTATATTTTTTCCTATAGGTAATACATTTTTTATCTATTTATGTTAGAACTCTTACTAAAGTTATCGGACATTTCATTTTTTAAATTGAACGCCCTGTGTATTTTATTCGAAAAAATGCAATATTGGTTCAAAAAGATTAAAAAAAGATTAGAACACTTAAAAAATTCAATAAATATTTGTGAAATAATTTTAACAAAAATCTCGTTGAAATTCTGTTGCATTTAAACATTTTTTTAAATTGTTTAATTGATTTTTAACCTTTTTGAATGTTCTTAAATTGAAACCCGTAGAAAAAAACCGGTCTAACCTATTTTTTTAATAGAACATCCTATGTATTTTATTCCAAAAATGCAATATTGGTTCAAAATTATTCAGAAAAAGATTTTAAAAACAAAAAATTCGAAAATATTTTTGTGATTTTTTTTGTATTGCTGAATCATAAACCTTTGTTAATTTTTTAATTTTTCTTTTAATCTTTTTGAATATTCTTTGAATTTTTTGAATCATTTGAATCTTTTTTAATATCATCCTTAGCTCGATCCTTAGTGTGTTATACTAAAAAAAAAAAGAATTTCATATGCTACCTTGTTAGGTTAAACTATACAAGGTGTTTCATTAAAAAATGAGGGTTGGGTCCGATAACTTTTTCGATAACCCTGTATATTAACATTACATATCAGTATATTTCAGGTTATTAAATATCATTAAAAAAAACTGTTTTCTGTATCTCTTTTAGTCATTCTGAAATTGAAAATTTTTTGGTTTTTCCCCTCGTTTTTCCCCGTATAAAGGCTGATCTCGAAAACTGATACGTAGGTAATTTAAATTTGGCAAAGTTGCGTATTTTGATGCTTAACAAGAAGCCGTTTTGAAACTGAACAAATTCCGACTACTTTCGGAGACATCCTGAAAACCAAATTTTGCAAAATCGCATTTATTTTTTACCGAAGTTATTTCAAAATAAATGACATTAATATGGCCACTTTTTTCCCTCTACAAGACGCTAGCTTAAATTTATAAGTCTGACGCTCGGTCTGACGTTTCGTCTCCGATTAACCATCATCAACTTTGTTTTTTCTTATGGAAGTCACTTTTACGTTTTGTGTCATTCGATAGAGCATTATTTTCTGATTTCAAAAATGTAAATATCACTATTTTTTATAAGAAATGGGGCTATTAATCCGTAAAAACACAAGAAACATACACGATCCAATACAAAATTTGCCAGACAAAAAGAAGGTAAGTATTTTAACAATATTTAAAAATATTTTAGGTTAAAATATACCGTGTTTAAAAAAAATGGAGTTAGATCCGATAACTTTTTTACCTGACCTCGTATACTTATTCTGAAGTATATTCTTCAACAATCATTGTAAAGAAACTTTTATGATAAATATTTTTCTGTAAGTACCTTTCTTAACCAAGAAAATATAGTCTTTCTGAAATTGCCCTTTTTAATTTTCCCCGTATCTCCTAAGCGAGCGAATGTTTTCAAATTTCGATGTTGACCCAAAAAGCACACATGACGCCTATGTTATAGATACCCTGTAAGTGTCGAAAATGGGACACCCTGTACTGTCATTTAGTGTATATTTTCTATCGATTTATGTTGGAACCCTTAAAAAGTTATCGGACCTAACCTTAAATAGAACATTCTGTGTATTTTATTTGTAAATTGACATTTGCTTGATTTTTTAAAAAATAAAAAATTCAAAAATCTTAAAAAATTTTTTCCAAATCCCGTTTTAAATTTTATTCATCCTGTGTTGTTATATTTTTGAAAATAGAATTTAATATGCTATCTTTTTAGGTTAAAATGTATACTGTTCCATTTAAGAAAATGATGTTAGGTCCGATAACTTTTGTGTTAACCCCGTATATTCTGATTATATATCAGTTTTAGATTACTCAACAATCATTATAAAGAAACTTTTGTAATAGATATTTTTCTGTTTTTCAACAAGGGGAATATAGGGCCATTTTGAAATTTTCCCTCGTATCTCTTAAGCGAACGAATATTTTCAAATTTTGATTTGATTTTACGTTTGACTTACTTTTATATAGCACTAACAATTACGGAGATATACTATAAATGTCGAAGATGGAATACCGTATAGTTTAATTTTGTGTATTATTTTTTTCCTATAATATACTTTTTCTATATTTATGTTAATACCATTCAACGCCGAAAAGCTGAAACTGAAAACAATTGAAGCTACAGAACCATCAGTACCGGAACCCTTAAAATTCTACCTGAGTAGCGAGGAACCCGAAGCTATAATAATTAGGGATAATTCAAATGGGATCCAATCTCTACCTTTGACACAAGATGGCGTAAAACACTTTTGACGATTCCGACATTTGAGAATAACATGAGACACTTAAGGCACATGATGATGACTTTTGAAACACTTTTGACACCTCTGGAACTGAATAGAGTGAGAAACATTTGCCACACTTAAGATACCTTTGATCTAAAAGATACTTACGGCATAAGACACTTGTAATGCGCCCGATTCTTAACATATACATGACACTTAAGACTTGTTGCACTTTTGACACATCTAAAACTGTATGGACTTACATTTGACGGCCTGAAGCACTTGACATCTTAAGAAAAGCTAAGAAAACTTAACAAGATACTTAAGACACGAAACACGTTCGCACTTGACACTCGACATGGCACATTTGAAGCACTCTTGACGTTACAGACTTGAGGTATTTGACATACTTAAAACTACTTAAGGTATCTCTGCCATAAAACACTTAAATCGCGACGTTTCCGACCTTTGAAATGCTTGAGACTCTCCGAGAGACTTGATAGGTATATTCGAGACACTTGTATCATCTCTGGCACTTAAGATAATTGAAATAATTGAGATACCATTCGTTTTGGAAACATTTTTAACGGTTTGCTAGGAAATTTTCCCAGGCAAAGCCTTACATACAATTTTTTAGTAGTTTTAAAGAACGACCCAAATATAATAAGTGTATTTTAAAGAAGTGTTACTCATGGCGACCCCCTTGCCAAACTACCATTGCAACGCCACTGACTTTCTAATGTCAAATTTGACGCACGCCTACCACGTGATTTTCTAATTAAATTCCACCTCCCACAGTACGAAATTGTGGTGAAATTTTACCTTTTCCGAGAGAACGAATTACTCACAAGTTACTACGTCATAAAAATAAACACTACTAAATCCAATTGGAAAATCCACGTATTAACTTGAAATACGTCGACAGTTGTAGTTGAGTGTTCTAAAGGGAAGTTAAAATGAGCTACCCCGGATATCCACCCTATCAACAGGTATGTCATTTGGGTTTTTGAAATTGTGAGTCCTTGCCAAGTAAAAATTTGCAGTTGTAACCTTGACACAGATCATTCAATGGCTGCTCTATATTTATCAGTCGCTTTCTCTCTCAATCAATAACTTTTTATCATAATATTTATTTGTACCAACAGGGACCGGGCATGCCTGGTGCAAACCCTCCGTATCCGCAACAAGGATACCCACCATATCCAGGAGGTGGCGGTGCCCCATACCCGGGCGCATACCCACCCCAAGGAGTGTACCCCCCATCGCTCGGGTTTAGCTCGAATGCCCCCATGTACATGCCCCAACCGAGCTACCCTGGTGCACCTCCACCTGAAGGATCCTACCCCAGTGCAGAACCATCCTACCCAGGTGCAGCACCATCCTACCCCGGTGCAGCCTCACAACCACCTTATGCGGGCGCACAGCAGGTCTATCCCACTCATCACACACCGAACTATGCACCACCTCCACCTACCTCGCACGACAACTACGAACCACCCCATGGGGGATACAGCTCGCAACCGGAAGTCGTTCAAAGGGTAAGCACTTCCTGCAACGTACCAAATCGCTGACGAGCCTTTCAGAAATCGCCAACCGTAATACCGGCGAGCCCCTTCGATCCTCGAGGCGACGCCGAAGTCCTAAGAAAAGCCATGAAAGGCTTCGGTACGGATGAAAAGGCCATAATCAACGTACTGGCCAGACGTACCAACGCGCAACGTCTCGAAATCGCGGTCCAATTCAAAACAATGTACGGAAAGGACCTGATTAAAGATCTGAAAAGCGAACTGAGCGGCCGATTCGAAGACCTAATTGTCGCCTTAATGCTGCCCTTACCTCAGTATTACGCCAGGGAGTTGTACAATGCGGTCAGCGGAATGGGAACCGACGAAGATTGCCTCATTGAAGTGTTGTGCACTTTGAGCAACCACGAGATTATGACCATACGAACTGCGTACCAAAACAGTAAGTCCTAACCAAAAAAAGGGGCACGTCAACTCAAAACATTGTTTCAGCGTACCACTCCTCGTTGGAAAGTGACCTCAGAGGTGACACAAGCGGTCACTTCAAGCGTCTAATGACCGCACTGTGCAGTGCAGGTCGCGATGAAAGCGGTGTCGTAAATCAAGCACACGCATCTGCAGATGCCCAACAATTGCTAAACGCCGGTGCTCTACAGTGGGGAACGGACGAATCACTATTCAACATGATCCTCTGCAGTCGCAACTACAACCAGCTCAGACTGATATTCGACGAGTACCAGCGCATAGCCGGTCACGACATCGAGCAAGCTATCAAAGGGGAGTTTTCCGGTGATATCGAGCAAGGTCTGCTCGCTGTGGTACGCGCGATACGGAGTTTACCGGCGTTCTTCGCCAAAAGGTTGTATCAAAGCATGGTGGGTATGGGCACCAATGACAATCAGCTGATACGAATCATTGTGACAAGGAGCGAGGTCGATATGGGCGAGATTAAGCAGCATTACGCCGCTATGTACGGAAAGGACTTGGCAGCTGCTATTGCGGTAAGTACTTTACACTGTACAACAAACCCTTTAACATCAACATTTTAGGATGACGTCTCAGGAGACTACAAGAAGTGTTTGTTAGCCCTGATTGGAGCATATTAAAGTTGCCAATTCTTTAAACATTCGATTTGTAGAACACTATTTTGTTGTGTACTTCAAGAACTATTTTTGAACTGTATTTACTCTTTTTTGTGAGATTTTAAGGCCTTAATAAATGTTGCAAGTGTCAAAGTTTAAACGTCGTCATAACCTCACTTTACTAACTAGGAAATACAAAGATTATTACTCACCCACTACGTATTTCTTGGAGAATTATAATTCGAACGTCACTAAATCGTCAATGCACGCACTGGAGCACATTAAATTCACATATTTAACACAAAATACAGCAAAAAAACGTTCAAAATTAATAAACCCGACTCGTAATTTTCCGTAATGCGCGGTTTTCTTTTCGGAAAAGTTCGGAGCTATTCCAGTTTAAATCCTTACAGCATTGTCACGTTTAGTATTTATAAGCAATTGCAGGGTTTCTTATAAACAAATATTTCGTGTTCCACAAAATTTACAACCACTACAAAATACGATTGCTATACGTAAACGTGGAAATCCTTTTAAAAATCACGTTAGTTTGAGACCTCTGCCTACGAACATTTTATTTATTTATAAATCTATTATTTCTATAATCATTTGACCTACACACACATAAATAGCAACAATATTTTAGTGATATCACATTTTATTATTGAGTAGGTACTATGCGAAAAAAGAACTGCTGTCGAGTCACCTTTGGAATTTTTTTTGACATGGGAACTTGAACTTCCAAAGAGGCGACTCGACGTCAATGTTAATCCTTTTTTGATCGCCCGTTATTTTATACCTATTTTGACCTTTGTGCCTTTTGGAAAGTTATACGGGGTGACAATTTTAAAACTTGCAGTCGGCCACATTTTCCCAACTAAAGAAGATATTGAAAATCGCGCAAAACCGTTTCGGGGTTATCGAGGGGGAACCATAATGACGTTATGAGTGATAACCACCCATCTCCCCTTAACCCCCCAGCCACTACTCTTCAAAAATCCGAACTGGCAACCCCATACTTGTGACACATCGTTGGAAAGCTATTGAAAAATGCTTTCCAGTGGTACCAATAAAGTCAATATTCATTAATTTAATAATGCAAAAGAAAATACACATATAAAACAACACAAATTGTACAATAAAAATCAGATAATCAAAAAACGATTAATAAAATTAATAAAAATTGACGGGATGGATGCACTATTTTTATACTTTAAAAACAAATAGGTATCATTTTTTGTAAATATTATGTAACAGTTATAATTTATTAATATAAAAAAACCATCAGTCCACTATCATTAGATCGTTAAGAAGTAGCAAATAGAAACAAAGGTGTGTTGTGCGTGACTTTTATTAAGCTATAACTATTACACTCTAAAAATAAAGGTAAAATAAAATAAAATAAAATAAAACAAAATAAAATAAAATAAAATAAAATAAAATAAAATAAAATAAAATAAAATAAAGAAACACAGGAAGGCTATTATTCCAATCCAATCAGATTAAGCAGAGCGGCTTGGAAGAGACCCTCAGTGTGGGCCTAAAACAGGATTATCAAAAATAAACAGATCTTGGCATTACAAATACGTACGTAAATATCTGCTTTTAAATGAACATGAAAAATGGAAACATACTCTTTCTTTATTTCACTCATATCTAACTCAAATCTTCTGACAATAATCCTAACCAGTTGCCTATGGTCTTTCACTTTGCCATACATGCATGCGTCTAAACGAGTGGCAAAGTAGACCGGTAAACTTCTTGTGGCAGCAACAAAAGTCAAAAGGGCCTCTTTAATATACCAAGAAAACTCCATTTCTATGGCCTTCTCAATGTCGTGACCTGATAACTCCTTGTAGTTGTCAAAAATGAGTCTCAGTTGGTTTACGTTACGAGTGGAGAGAACCTCGTAAAACACCGACTCGTCTGTACCCACTTTTTCGATACCTGGAGGTAAAACCATTACTCACTTTATCTGCGAAGACAACTGACCTGCTTTTAGTAGTCTACGAGCGTCGACCGCTGCCCGCTCCTTGTGGACAGTACCACCATCATCTCGGCGGGAATCAAGTAACGACACAAAAAACATTTTTAGGTCTCCACTTGTATCGTCTTTAACGTCATCCACCAACGTACGATCAAACTCTGCACAATCGCATAAGTGACCAATTCCCATCAACTTTGATTTTACTCACCAGATTCATAAGCGGCCATAACGAACAACATTTCCTGGTAAGTCAGAGTGCAAAGGATTTGAATTAAAACGCTTTCATCCGTTCCAAGTCCATCAATAGCTTTATACAACTCGTTCGCGTAGAAAACATGAGACGGTAGAGCCAATCCAACGAGAAGATCTCTAAGTGCGTCATCTGGGAGACGTCTTTCCAACTCGTCCTTTAAGCGCTAGAAGCGAAAGTGTACAAACAACCTAGGGCAAATAACCGCACCTTCCCAACTTTGTCTTTAAATTGGGCGACGATTTCAGATCGTAGGTTATACTTCGTCTTTGTTAAAATTTCGACTAAGGATGCGATATCGTTGTTGTATAACGCGCGTATCAGGGATGACGCGTTGAACTGTTCAACCTTGCTGCCATCGACGTAATAGAAGGATCCCTAGGAAGCAGATAGAAACTTTTGGTTAGCTGTAAATACTCACATCTGGATTGAAATGCAGAAGGAATACAAGCAAAAGTGTGCGACAAGGGATCTCCATGTCATTTGATCATTTTCTATCTCATTACACAACTGATACGCACTTTGTTTACGTTATGGAACCTCATATCTTTACAGAAATTGGGCTTACGTCGAACAATATCCTGATTATGATCATAGAAAGTTTTCGTGAACATCCCAGGAGTAACTACTCAGAATGCCACTAAGCTTCCAAAAAATTCTTCAGTTGATGGAGAAATAGTTTCAACCTCCATGGCTTTAAGGATCGGTTTGTTGAGTTTAAGGATCGGTTGGTTAATGCAAGTGCTTACTTTACAGCAACAAAAAAAAACAAACGCAGGGTAGGGACGTTTTACGTACTCTGGAAAACTTACGTACCCCATTAATAAATGGGTTTTATTTATCAAATCCAGCTCTAGTGGGTTTCTAAATGGTAAAATACATGCAATACAAAATGACTTTCATTTCCCATAGGTTGATCTCTTTAAGAATGTACAAAAAAATTTCTTTTTTTCTATTTTGCTTACTGTAATATAATTTACGATGATTTTTCTTACATAAATAGAATAAACCTGTTACCTCATACAAGCCGGCCCTTTTGCAGGGAACGGTGTTGACACAAAATTAGGTAGTACCTGCTGTGGGCGTTCCAAGTGTTGTAACGGTAGCTCTGACATTGGATTTATTTTTTCGGATATTATAGATACGAGGGCGTATTGAAAAGTAAGGTCTTCAACGATGCAATGTCCGAACGTGAGTTACTAGGCGAAATTTAACAACGGCACTGCATTCCTCCACCGCAAGGTGGAACCATCCCCGAGACCTTGGGACAAAATGAGTTCAGTCATTCGCTTTTTGAATGTAAAAAAGATTTCTCCGATAGTTTCTCCTGGTTATAGGATCAAGATCTGCGAAATATTAGAGTGATTTTGTCTGTCTTCTACACTCAACTAATTTTTGTGTATTTAGAACCAATTTATTGACTTGGAATTTCAACGTTCATACAGACTTGGGAGTAGTAGGTACTTTGATTTAGGTCCCATCCTAACAGCATATGGGACTCAGATGAAACTAGCCCACAGCTAATTCTAAACTCATTTTTGTCAAGTTTGTTATGCAGAATCACGTGTATTTGGACTTAGATCCATCGTTCCGAATTTGTTTACTTTTAATCCATGTATTGCTAAACGTACTCTTTGAAACCTATCACAATATGTACAATTGTTCAGGTCAAAGGTGATCATTGCTACATATACAAGCAGATGAAGGGAAAACGCTCGCGGTCTATGGTCGCGAATGGGTACTGTTATCTTCCATGAATAATTTTCATGATGGATGGCTGGGTACCTGAAAAATATGGCCTCATTTGCAGTTCTTCCCCTATGGATTCATTATTTCATTAGGTATTCCAATAACTGTAGAGGAAAACATTGAAAGGTCAAGTGGTTATCGACCTTAAAATGTTAGATATCACAGCAGTTCAAAGAGCCCATAGGCAGAAATAGTTGCTATGGCCCGTGGATAAGATAAACTCATTTGAGGCAATAAGAGACAAGAACTTGGAAGAGCAGCGGTAGTTGGCAGTGAACACTCACATCAACAATGGGTTCGTCGTACAAGTACGTGGTTGTCTTCCTTGCATATTTCATCGTTGATGTAAGTTTTAAACTTGGTTTTCCAAGGCATGGCCTCAAAACATCTGTTTTAGGGATTATCCTACCAACCCACGCAGAACGAATTTAAAAATGTCGGCTTTAAAGTGCCGAACTTCGACGCGTCAGCCGATTGTGACTTAATAAAACATGCCTTGCATTCGGGCGAACTATCGACAATTGTCAACATTTTGACCCATAGATTGTATGACCAACGGATTGAGATTGCTCATATGTACAAAACGAAATATGGCAAGGTCTGTTTGGTATCCCAACTGTCTCACCAAATAACCGAGATCTTTTAGTTTTTGAAAGAGGAGTTCGCGAGTCACGATCTGCTGGTTGCCTTAGTTGTACCAACTCCCCTCTTTTACGCCATGGAGCTGCATAAGGCCATTATTGGTGTTGGTACCAATGAAAAAGTCTTAATCCAGATTCTTTGCACTTTGAACAACAAAGACATGTTATCTGTTATCAACGCTTACGAATCTGGTAAAGGTGTACTAACAGCAGACTTTTTTTGGTAACCGCGTTTTTCAGAGTTCCACCATAAGCTAATGGACGACGTCAAAGGTGATACCAGTGGAGACTTCAAAAACCTGATGGTGGCAATCCTTCATGCAAACCGTGACGAAAGTGGAGTTGTCAATAAGGCACACGCCGCCACCGACGCTCTTCATCTTCACAAAGCAGGTTAATCTTACTCCCCCTCATGCCAGTTTTTTTTTAAATCATAAACGGTTGCCTAGGTCTCGATAGAATAGGGACCGATGAGAGTGTCTTCTACGAAATCTTGGGTACACGCAACTACAATCAGTTGAGATTAATCTGCGACGAATACAAGCACCTATCAGGTCATGATCTTGAATACGCCATAGAAAAGGAGTTTTCGGGACATGCTGAGACAGGGCTCTTGACAATCCTTGCCGCCGCCAAGAACCTTCCAGGGTACTTTGCCGAGCAATTACATCACTGCATATCTGCGACCGATAAGAACGAACAGTTGGTCACGATTATTGTTCCCAGATCTAAACCAGATATGGGTTACATCAAGCAAGAGTATTCCAAAGTCTATCATAAGAATTTGGAGTTTGATATTGCTGTACGTATTGCCGTCAAGTTAAAACCTCTTGTGATGTGATTCTTATTTTAGGAAAACACCGAAGGCTTCTTTAAGGAAGGAATTCTTAACCTGCTCCATTGATACCGTAATGATTACAAAGCAAAATGAAATGTAAACCTACCTATAGGTACATAATAAACTGGTTCTTTGTTGCATTTTGGGGTACCAACCTTATTATGAAATGACAGAGTTCTTTGAGAGATACGCCAAAATCTATATTCATTGTAGATCAACACCAAGGATGGTATAGATTATATCATGAACATCATGCACATTATTTTCTTCTATTTACTGTACAAATCTCAATGTGCGAAGAAAAGATTTACAACTAAAAATTGTTCTTTAAAATTCTTTAAAGAATTCAAGAAATTACTTGAAACGCGTTTCAAAGGTTTCCTTATTTAAAGGGTTCTTTAAAAGATTCGTCGAGATCTATATTTTTTATGGCCTATAGTTCAAGACCAAGGATGCTATACCTACTTGGATAGCAATCCTCGATTGCGGGGGTTGTAATTTTTGTTGTACATCAAATATTTTGAATTTTTTGACGGGTTATGTTTAAGTAGTCAACAAACAACCCTCAAAGAGTCCTCTACCAATAAATTTCCTTCTCGTTTGAAACTTACGTAATTTTCTAGAAAATTAACGCCTACGTATATAGCAATTCTCGATTGCGAGGGGTGTAGTTTTTGTTGTACATCAGATATTTTGAATTTTTTGATAGATTATCTTTTAATAATCTACAACCAACCCTGAAACTGCCCTCTAACAATAAATTTCCTTCTCGTTTTAAACTTAGTAATTTTCTAGAAAATTATCACCTATACGTATATAGCAAACCTCGATTGCGAGGGTTGTAATTTTTATTGTAGATCAAATATTTTGAATTTTTTGATAGATTATCTTTTAATAATCTACAATCAACCCTGAAACTGCTCTCTAACAATAAATTTCCTTCTCGTTTGAAACTTACGTAATTTTCTAGAAAATTAACGCCTACGTATATAGCAATTCTCGATTGCGAGGGGTGTAGTTTTTGTTGTACATCAGATATTTTGAATTTTTTGATAGATTATCTTTTAATAATCTACAACCAACCCTGAAACTGCCCTCTAACAATAAATTTCCTTCTCGTTTTAAACTTAGTAATTTTCTAGAAAATTATCACCTATACGTATATAGCAAACCTCGATTGCGAGGGTTGTAATTTTTATTGTAGATCAAATATTTTGAATTTTTTGATAGATTATCTTTTAATAATCTACAATCAACCCTGAAACTGCTCTCTAACAATAAATTTCCTTCTCGTTTGAAACTTACGTAATTTTCTAGAAAATTAACGCCTACGTATATAGCAATTCTCGATTGCGGGGGTTGTAATTTTTGTTGTACATCAAACATTTTGAATTTTTTGACAGATTATGTTTAAGTAATCTACAACCAACCCGGAAACTGCCCTCTAACAAGAAATTTCCTTCTCGTTTGGAACTTAGTATTTTTCTAGAAAATTAACACCTATCCGTATATAGCAATCCTCGATTGCGGGGGTTGTAATTTTTGTTGTACATCAAACATTTTGAATTTTTTGACAGTTTATGTTTAAGGAATTAACAAACAACCCTTAAAGAGCCCTCTAGCAATAAATTTCCTTCTCGTTTGAAACTTACGTAATTTTCTAGAAAATGAACGCCTAAGTATATAGCAATTCTCGATTGCGGGGGTTGTAATTTTTGTTGTACATCAAACATTTTGAATTTTTTGACAGTTATGTTTAAGTAATTACAAACAACCCTTAAAGAGCCCTCTAGCAATAAATTTCCTTCTCGTTTGAAACTTATGTACTTTTCTAGAAAATTAACGCCTACGTATATAGCAATCCTCGATTGCGGGGGTTGTAATTTTTGTTGTACACCAAATATTTTGTTTTTTTTGATAGATTATATTTAAGTAATCTACAACCAACCCTGAAACTGCCCTCTAGCAATAAATTTCCTTCTCGTTTGAAACTTACGTAATTTTCTAGAAAATTAACGCCTAAGTATATAGCAATTCTTGGTTGCGGGAGTTGTAATTTTTGTTGTACATCAAACATTTTGAATTTTTTGACAGTTTATGTTTAAGTAATCTACAACCAACCCTGAAACTGCCCTCTAACAAGAAATTTCCTTCTCGTTTGGAACTTAGTATTTTTCTAGAAAATTAACACCTATCCGTATATAGCAATCCTCGATTGCGGGGGTTGTAATTTTTGTTGTACATCAAACATTTTGAATTTTTTGACAGATTATGTTTAAGTAATCTACAACCAACCCTGAAACTGCCCTCTAACAAGAAATTTCCTTCTCGTTTGGAACTTAGTATTTTTCTAGAAAATTAACACCTATCCGTATATAGCAATCCTCGATTGCGGGGGTTGTAATTTTTGTTGTACATCAAACATTTTGAACTTTTTGACAGATTATGTTTAAGGAATTAACAAACAACCCTTAAAGAGCCCTCTAGCAATAAATTTCCTTCTCGTTTGAAACTTATGTACTTTTCTAGAAAATTAACGCCTACGTATATAGCAATCCTCGATTGCGGGGGGTTGTAATTTTTGTTGTACACCAAATATTTTGTTTTTTTTGATAGATTATATTTAAGTAATCTACAACCAACCCTGAAACTGCCCTCTAGCAATAAATTTCCTTCTCGTTTGAAACTTACGTAATTTTCTAGAAAATTAACGCCCAAGTATATAGCAATTCTTGGTTGCGGGAGTTGTAATTTTTGTTGTACATCAAACATTTTGAATTTTTTGACAGTTTATGTTTAAGTAATCTACAACCAACCCTGAAACTGCCCTCTAACAAGAAATTTCCTTCTCGTTTGGAACTTAGTATTTTTCTAGAAAATTAACACCTATCCGTATATGGGGGTTGTAGTTTTTGTTGTACATCAAACATTTTGAATTTTTTGACAGATTATGTTTAAGTAATTTACAAACAACTCTTAAAGAGCCCTCTAGCAATAAATTTCCTTCTCGTTTGAAACTTATGTAATTTTCTAGAAAATTAACGCCTAAGTATATAGCAATTCTCGATTGCGGGGGTTGTAATTTTTGTTGTACATCAAATATTTTGAATTTTTTGATAGTTTATGTTTAAGTAATCTACAACCAACCCTGAAACTGCCCTCTAACAAGAAATTTCCTTCTCGTTTGGAACTTAGTATTTTTCTAGAAAATTAACACCTATCCGTATATGGGGGTTGTAGTTTTTGTTGTACATCAAACATTTTGAATTTTTTGACAGATTATGTTTAAGTAATTTACAAACAACTCTTAAAGAGCCCTCTAGCAATAAATTTCCTTCTCGTTTGAAACTTATGTAATTTTCTAGAAAATTAACGCCTACGTGTATAGCAATCCTCGATTGCGGGGGGTTGTAATTTTTGTTGTACATCAAATATTTTGTTTTTTTTTATAGACTATATTTAAGTAATCTACAGCCAACCCTGAAACTGTCCTCTAACAAAAAATTTCCTTCTCGTTTGGAACTTAGTAATTTTCTAGAAAATTAACACCTACTCGTATACGTATATATGTAGCAATCCTCGATTGCGGGAGTTGTAGTTGTTGTTGTACATCAAATATTTTATTTATTTTGACAGATTATCTTTAAAAAACATTCGCACTTACATGTACAGGGTGATTCAAATTCGTAGCTCAGCATTGGGATCTTCGTAACGTTGAGGCAAAGATCTAGTATGATCTTTGGTTGAGGGATACAGTGTAGGTTAAATGGGGGCAAAGCTACCATTTTTTTGTGACTAAACGACGCTTTTGAAATTTTTGAAAAATCTTTAAAAATAGCTCAGATATCGGCGGAAGTTAAAGTACTTGGCCCCCCCCCTTCCCAGTATTGTGACCATTTCCTGACTTTTATGTAAATAACTTCTTTTTGTCCTCTTATCTCACTCCGTAGTAATCCATATGGTGCCCATAAGAAATAGGAAAGTGCGTGGCAAAGCGGCGACTTCGTATTGTTGGAAGTGCAACGGCCGATTTCGCTTCATTAGCTTTCCAAGAGACACATGTCTTGAATTCTTGGACTGTGAGAGACGAAGCGTAGGTGGAAAAAGAAAGTTTCGATCAGGAAACAAAATGGTTCCTTGATGTCTCTTTGCTCTGCCGTTTAACAAGGAAATTGTATTTTTGGGTAAGGATTCATCTATCTAATTTCAAATGTGGTAGTTGTATCGGGGGTGCTTTTTTACAGTATACAGAAAAGTAAAAGCAGACTTCATTTTTGTTATAACTCGCGCTTAATCACAAATTCTGAAGCGTATGCGAAGGTGAAAACTTAAATGCAGGACATTATATGGCATCCTTGGGTCAAGGACTAAGGGTCCTAAGAGGCTCTTAGAATATGTAGAAGGTTCTTCAACACCTCTTTAAAGAGATTCCGTTGCAAAGCATTCTAAGGCGTCCAGAGCAAGTGACAGTTGCACATGGGTCCATAGTCGCTTTCCAGAGCTTTATATTGCCTTTCCAAACCAGCCGTCCCGTACTTTTTACATCTGGGCGAAAATAGAAAGCTCTAGGAATCACCTGGAAAGTTCTAACGGGGTCATATAAATGTTTTCAAAGGCAAAAGTAGCCTGAAAATCCTACGAAGGCAATAGAATGTTATTAAAAAATCTCTCTAAAGTGAAATAATAGTAATAATAACTATTGATAGGCATGGGCGTAGCAAATACCCGAGGTTTGATCTCATATTTTTGTTTTCGTCTTCAAATTCATTATAAATTCTTCGTTTATCATGCAAATTCTTATAATTGCATGGGGAAAACCATTAAAAGGTCAAGATGTTATCGGCCGTTCAATATAAAGAGCAGTGCGGTAGTCGGCAGTGTGTACAAAAATGTGTTCGTACAAGTATGTGTTTGTCTTCCTTGCATATTTCATCTGTGCAGATGTAAGTAGGTATATTAAGGCTGGATTTCCAAGACATTGCCTCTATTTTAGGGATTATCGCCTCAACCCGCAGACTTCAACGCGTCAGCCGATTGCGAATTAATAAAAGATGCCTTGTATGACGGCGATCTATCAACAATTGTCAACATTCTGACCAATAGATTGTATGACCAACGACTTGAGATTGCTCATTTGTAC